TTGCACATTGCCGTGTACTGTTAAATATTGTTTTAAGAACTAACAATCGATGTTGCGCAACAAAATTGTGCCTAAGATCCACTACAATAAAGTTTTTGAAAAACTGTTGGACCTATTTTAAATCGCCTGATTGATTGCGGACGCAAATTTGTATCAAGGAAAGATTAAAAACACAAGAGCAGTCACTAAAACATGCTATAATACGAAAAGTATTAAGTAATGCTGAACGCCAAAAACGATTTCGTGCCAAAAAAGGAGCATTAAGTAATAGATCAACTCAAAGTAGCTTTCATCAACCACGAACTAGTGCTGAACGTCAAAGATTATACAAAGCAAATAAGAAATTACTACAAAAAAATACAGAAACTCAAGAAGAAGAGTTTACACAAACCCAAGAAGAGCAATATGTGCAACATCTCGTTAAAGAATGTTAAATGTTGCAAATAAAAAATATATTTTACATTTACAAGAAAATGAAATTAAATTTGACCTATTCCTGAAACAAATATAAATTATTAGACTAACAAGAATATTAAAATTATAAAATAAGTTCAATATTTTATGCTTTCTATTAATTTATGAAGTTATCGCTTCTGTCGAGCGCCCCGTGAAGCACACCATTTTTTTTTTTTTTTTGAAGAAACGCCCAAGGCCTCTTTTGTTGGTTCGTCCATTATCCATCATCCTGGAAAGAAATCCGTCGCTCCGAAGCGATCAATCACGTTTTATTTAAGTCCGCACGATGTTTAGAGGTATCCGACTTAACACGTTAACTCTTAATCTGCCTTAAAGCTAATTAGGCTTTTAGCTGCTTTTGAAGGTAAAAAGTTGGGGCTCCAGGTGCGTAATTAGTCGTAACTTTTAACGTTCAACAGTTCACTCGGTTCACTTTTGTGGCTGGTAGGGATGGGTTCCAAACAGGCCTTCCAATTTGCCTACTAAACGACTGTAAAAACCAAAATAAAACGCGTCAAAAAGCCAAAAAAAAAATGAAAAACTGTGTTAAGGCTGGCACGCCTCTGGTGGAGAAGAATGCCCTTTTGTTTGGTAAATGGTCGAATCGGTCTTAAGGCGAGGCTGCAGAGCCGTGGGTGCATGTCATAGGTGTTTGTGACGTCACCTACCTGCAGACGTGTGTTAATGGACTTCATTTTTCCCGAAGATTAGTCTGGCCTCGCAACAATCGGTTTTAAGTGCATTTATTGATTGATTCGCGATTGTTTCAACTGTCAAGTTAGGCGTTTCTTGTAAATGCAAAGGGGGCTGGGTAAAGCGGCAGCTCTTGTTTTCATGGCCACCTGCCCAAATTTACCAAATCTAGTCGGGGTTTGGAGGGTTGAACGTTTTCAGCCAAGTAAGAGTTGATAGTTGAGTTGAAGGAAAAACGACTGTGACTGTCATTTTTTTATTTCCCTGCCTAATTTTCGTGGAAATTTTCAAAAAGGTGTTTGCTTGCAGCAATTTTTTGCTTTGATTTGAAAGCTTTTCTTAAGCCAGAACCGTCTTACTTCGCCGGTCGGTAAAGGATTCATTATTGGCAAGAAAATTCCATACAGAAATCAAGTTTTCAAAAGTCCTTCAACCTCAAATACTGTTAATATAATTTTTTCCATTTTGCTAGATTGGCGCTCAAAGTGGGAGTTTTCTAGTTCTAGTGAAGCGCAGGCAATTAGCATGAAAATTCCTCAGAGTTCATTTAAAAGCGAATCAGTTCACTTGGAAATTTCTTCAAAAGTTAAAAATTTTTGATTGTTTTGCAACTTTTTTGGAAAATTCTCCCTTATACTGATTTTTTAACTTCCCGGGAAAGTTGAAAAAAAATAAACAACTATCAATCGCAAGTTTAAGTTTTGAAGGATTTTCCAACTTGGAAGGACTGAATTAATTTTATGTACATTTTTAACAAA